GAGAGAGAGAGAGAGAGAGAGAGAGAGAGAGAGAGAGGGTGATCTCTGTATCAGATGACAACGTAACTGAATACAAGACAGAACTGAAACATGTAATATGTGGGCATAAAACTCAAGCTCTAGTATTGGACATGATCATGAACATCGTCGAAGGGAAGAGAGAGTAGCGGCATTTGGTGGAAAAGTGAGAGCTTTTGGCATTGAAGGCAATACGAAGTATGTTCTAGGTAAAAAAAAAGTCATTGCATAAGTTAAATGCTGTTATCAACACTATTATTAGGCAAGTTAAGAGACAGGAGCTCCGAATTTAACGCATGTCTCCTATAGGATCAAGTAAATAGTCTGAAAACCTTGAAAAGGCCAACTCCTCAAAACGACTCGAGTTCAAAAATGTTTCTTTGATTCGAACCATCCGCTTTGTACTCGAGCATGATATCCAACTGAGCTAATGAAACGCCCAAGGTAATCAGTTCTATTCCCAACGGGACAACATAATGTTGTCAAGCAACATCTGCCTTTCTGTCAGGATGTAACATCCTTCGAAACCCTTGTACTAGGTTGACAGTGACAGCTAGCCAGATCAAAACAGCCAGCCTCCTAAATTTATTACACCCTGTTGATCTGAGCATAACACGTTTACTATCTATTTTTCAAGCAACCAATAAATAAGTCAATTCCAAGAACTAAAAGATATCCCCTTCCCCCTCATTTTTGTAAGACTGTAGATCCTGTTTGTGGATCTTACAAAAGGGGATTTCTGGTAATGAATTTCAAGATAAATATTTGCAACAAGTGCAAACGAGACAGGGGCAGAAATAGAGAAGTGTATTTGGGAAACCTGGACGCGGAAACACCAGGCTAACATGGTATTTTTAAAAGCACCCCAGGGGAGAAATGAATGGAGAACAATGATCGCCGACGTCTGTTTCAGATCTAGCACTTTTTGACGATAATACTTACTAAATTTTAAGCATTTTTTCTTGTTGAAGTTCCACAGAACAGAGCCACCCTCCAAATATTTCCTAGTTCATCAGTTTTCCTAAGGTATCTATCTATCTATCTATCTATCTATCTATCTATCTATCTATCTATCTATCTATCTATCTATCTATCTATCTATCTATCTATCTATCTATCTATCTATCTATCTATCGCCCCCCCTCCCCTTCCCCCCTCTCTCTCTGTCTCTCTGTCTCTGTCTCTGTCTGTGTCTCTGTCTCTGTCTCTGTCTCTCTCTTTCTCTCTCTCTCTCTCTCTCTCTCTCTCTCTCTCTCTCTCTCTCTCTCTCTCTCTCCCCTTATCTTTCCATATTCTTGAGATTAGTATATAGTTAGATAAATCCTATTTCTGTTGTTTTCAGAGACCAGAAGAGACAACTGCAACCATGAACTCAACAGGTGGTCTAGACTGGGAAAACTTTCTGACAAAATGACCAGTTCGTCGTTTTTATGAACGTGGTTGTGAGTCTGTACATAGCCCTGATTCTTCTGGGCATAGTGAGCAACGTCATCAATTCCTGGGCTTTCGTCGTAATGGGCCTACAAGATGGTTTTACTTGTAGCCTCTTCGTCCTGTCTGTTTCCGATCTAGGTATGGCCCTATCTGGGATTATTATTATTGGCTCACACTTGATGGAAGTTCTAGAGCGTAAAGACATCCAGCTGTTTAGCATTGACCCTCGCGCCGTAGCGATCACTTCCGGCTCTTTACGTGAGCAGTTTCTTCTCTTGTCCTCCCTCAACACCACATTTCTCGCTGTGACACGCTGCGCGTGCGTCATGATGCCTCTCAAGTTTTGCTATATGTTCACTCGGCGCCGCGCAGTGGTGTCGTTTGTTGTCTTCGTTTGCTTCAGTCTTCTGAATCCGTTGCCGCTTATGGTCGGAATGAAGGTCAAGACAATATTCATCAAAAATGAAACATTTTCTCGCAGAATATTTACACTAGGTCCTAATTATTTTCAGTTATCTGAAATAATGGACATCCTCTTGGACATGATAACCAACTTTGGCACCCAGATTTTGACTTTGATTTCACTGGTGGGGATGTGCATTGTTCTTGAACGCACCTCTCGCTTTAGAAAACAATCTTCACATGTCACCTTCGCGCCCCGAGCACAGGCAACTGTAGTTTCCCCCTCTAGTTCCCCGCCAAACGATACATTGACCTCTGACGTCATGAGAAAAGCCTCATCCTCAGAATATGTTGGACTCAACGCGTCTGTTACTGCTTCAACGGTACGAACTAGACCCATGAACTCTACGTCGAAAACGACACCAAGAGCTCTTGGAACACAATATAAAGTAGAAACGACGTCACAAGAGCAAAAGACACCACCAGAGCTGGAAATGACAACACGAGAGATGAAGGCTTCCAAGAGGGACCCCCCTTTATCTACAGCGTCCAAGCGTCAGCTTCAAGCGGCCAAGCAAGTCGCCATCTTGTCCACAGTGTACGTGTTGACCAACTGCCCACGCATGGTAATGCTGGTGGGCCGGACCCTGGAGCCAGAATATTACTTCTCTCGAAAGTTCGACACATTTTTCCAGTTGTCTATGTCTATCAGGATCACGTCGGAGTTCGTCTGTGCTGGGACGAACATTTTCATCTACATCACTTTTAATACCGTTCGCTTCTCCTTGAAACTCTTTGTTGCGGTCTGAAGAACGGTTCTTCTTTAACTTAATGACAACGCACAATGTGTTCCCCAGACAAATCTTCAAGATGAGCTGTTTTTGGGCATTAAAAAAAGGAGCATAACAACTTCGTTAGTTTTTCAAATTTTTCAACTCCATTAAAATAAATAAATCTGCAACTTGAAAAGGCAGGACGCAGAATGCTTACTATGAAATTTACCAATTCTTAATTAAAACAAAAGTAATGATGCTTCAAGATGTGCCGAAATATTGCCTTTAATCTGCCGCTGATCAGACGCCTATTATGTCGCTTTGACTTCAGAAAAGTTAATTTAATTTGTGTACTAGTCCAGTTCTGCTGGCTGTGCTTTCTAGAAAGTGCCATTCATCTCAGATCTTTCAAACTGAGAACAGTACGCCTACACTAAATAATTTTATGTGAAGAAAACAATTTGGGTTCAAGTCGTTTAGTTTTAGTTTTAGTAGAGCTTTTACGGTGCTCGCAACTACATAAGATTATGTGAGCGCCAAAGGGTGGAAGTCAACAGAGAAGTTCATACCGAGAATTAGACTTACTCTGCTCACCTCTCTAGCCTCAACAGCACAAAGTCTGCTTCGACTATCAAGGCACCCCGGAAATAGCGGGTCACAAGAGAGTAACAAACAAACAAAAGAAGTAGAGGAAAATGACGATAGTAAGGATTGGTGAAAACGCAGTATGCACTTCAGGCACAGTTATGAGCGTGACATTGATGAACAAGCCCATTTACAATTCTTCTGTGCATAAGAACATGTTAATGTCCCCCCCCCTAAAGACGCTTCAGTCAGTAGCACCGACCCGGGGGGTAGGTTCAAGTTGGAAACAGTTTTCGCCAACCACTTAACGAGTGGTGGTTTGTACAGGTGATTGTCTTACACAAGGGCCGTTATTTAAGGTTTGATCAATATCTCCGACACCAGAGCTTTTGTGCATAATTTGACTACTTACTACTGGTATAACATACATAAACCCCCAAAACCGGCGTCTGTGGTATAGCAGTTAGGCCCTTCGTTGTCGCATACAGAAGACCCGATTTCGATTCCTTAGTGGGGAGAATTTTTATCGAGTACCTTGGTCTTTATGCTGGTATGTTTTATCAATTTCAGCACGGGTTGGCCAAGACAGGCAGAATCGTATGCCCACCTTCTAAATGATACAAGTTGTGTTAATGGGTACATAACAAATAAACAAATCCCAAAAGTCATAACAAGGCAATATTGCCAAGTCAAGCGCATTTCAGGTTTTGGATTTTGTATGCTACTCTCCTTCAAAAGAAGTTTTGTCACTCTTTTTTTACAGAGAAATCTATAAATACTAAATAAATTCCAACGGTGTTCGCGTACGCGCGCGCTTGTGTGTGTGTGTGAGAGAGAGAGAGAGAGTGTGTGTGTGTGTGTGTGTGTGTGTGTGTGTGTGTGTGTGTGTGTGTGTGTGTGTGTGAGTGTGTGTGTGTGTGTGTATGTGTGTGTGTGTGATGGTTCGAAAAGTGCAACAACATTGCCTTTGGTATGCTGCTAACCGGGCGTATTATTTTTATGTCTACTTCGTCTTGAAAAAGAGAAATGGATGGAGAACCTAAAGACCACTCCATAATAGCCAAGTTTAAAAATGTCTGTTTGAGGATTTGAAGTAGGGTATTCTGCATCGTAGTCTTCTACAATACCAACATGCAGTATTGGCAAACTCCTCGACTTACTGAGCTTGTGGGAACATCATCACCTCCTCCGGAGTTAGCATTCGATAACCATCTACCACGTCGTGGAAAGGCTCCAAGGTCTGGGAATGGGCAAAGAATAAGATGATGTATGGACTGCTGACTGGAATTATATTCATGGAAATTGAAAACGTAAGGTGAAACGTTAGCGGGACCAATGGCGAATTCAGTTTTGTATCGCAGCTGAGGCCTACATAAACTAAAACAATAATACATCCATGTTAACGTGAATAAGACTTCCACTTGTAAGATATGATGGTAATGATTGTATGAGATCTATGCATTATGTGTGTATGTGTTTGTGTGTGTGTGTGGTGGGGGGGGGGTGTATACGAATACAGCTGTCCATATTTAATGATAATGGTCAGTTAAAGACAAATACAATGTTTGGTATTTCCCTACTTTGAAAAAAAGCAATTTTTTTCCCCAAGAAATTTGTAAAATTCTCTAAAGAAGTGTACAGTCTATTTTAGGCAAAAACTGGATTTACTAAGCAACTGGATCAAAATTGAGATGCTATACTATAAAGTTTGGATGAACACATTAAATTTAGATAAAGATCAATTTGTATCCATAAACATGTGCCATTTATAAATTATAGTACCTTACTGTATATGAATCTAGCATTACTGATTCAGTGGCGAAGCGTCTATATAATCAAATAATCACTGCTTCCCTTCCTAATTTTGAAACATTGTCGCAGTCAAATCCCCCCCATAGACGTAAACCTCATAAATTAAACGTAAAAAGACGTTCATAATCACCAATGAACAATATACTATGCCTAACCTTCAAAACCGTTTCATTGTCACAGAAATAGCCTGTTCGCCCCTATCGGGCCGCTCCATAAGCAGTCACAAGCTTTGATTAAGTAAGCTTAAGTGAGGCTAGAAGAGTCTACCAATAGAGTTGAAGGGAACATGTGCATAGCAGTCAAAACTGTTTCATTGTCACATATACCCTGTTCACCCCTTTCGAGCCACAGTTATAAGCAGCCACACGCGCTGATTATGTAAGCTAACTATTACACTGGTCGAGTCTACCCCGCCAAAACAAATAAAATAAAATAAAATAATCACCAAACAAAACGAACCCAAAACCAACAAGGGTATAAGTTAACAATGCATCAACATATGTGATATCAGTAAAAAAGGATAGATTAGCACAACAGATCTATGGAGACAAATTGAGGAACAAAATATGTGTAATGCCGCGCTTACCTTCACAACACTGGTATACAAGCTGTAGCCAGAGAGAGCATTGGCACCAGCCTCGCCTGCCTCAGCAGAGTAAGCCAAGCGTTTGAGGTAGGTGTGCGTTTCTTGACTCATATCTCTGTTGAGATGGGAATAATAGAAAAAATAAATAATACCCCACCCCCCGATAATCTGTGTTTGCAACTCTGTATTTGCCAAATAAGGTAAAACATTTTAAAAGGAAAAAATGTAATTTCTTTCTTTCTCATCTTCCAGAATTATTCACATTTTATGTAAAGCGTTCTTTTAACTAATAAGAGTATTATCAATTATAATTGCAGTAGTTAAAACATAATTTGAGACAAAAAGTGTTACATTAAATTTGGCAGATACGCGGTTAAAGTTGGACTCAGACAATATGTGATAATAGTAACGATAATTTAATGGAAAATAAGCTGTGTTCATAACACACCGATGAGCCCAAAACAAAAAAAATATGCTTAGTTTTTTAATACCTTGCGAGTATTATAGTGTAAAGACGACCAAGCAGTCAGTGACAGATTGACTGAGAGAGAATGATCTAAAGATGATTCAGAGTTCAGAGAGTTCAGATGAAGGGGAGAGGGAGAAAGAATGAGGGATAGATACATATTTTGAGAGACAGGAAGCGTGTATGTGTGTGAATGTGTGTGTGTGTGTGTGCGTGTGTGTGTGTGTGTGTGTGTGTGTGTGTGTGTGTGTGTGTGTGTGTATGTGTGTGTGTGTGTGTGTGTGAGAGAGAGAGAGAGAGAGAGAGAGAGAGAGAGAGAGAGAGAAAGAGAGAGAGAGAGAAAGTTATAAGTGTGATATACATTTTTTATGCCAACTCGGCAAACAGCGTGCCTTTTCGGAGCATGTTTCGTCTGGGTTTCCTTTCAAAATTAATACAGAGATAGGACCAATATACGTCCCTCTAACTGGACTGCATTTACTGTAAACGTATACGGCCCTCGTTAACAAAATTCAGTTAATTTTGGAGGCTGTCTGCTTTGACTACCTGAAGAAAGTATGATACATTGAAAAACATATCCCACTTGGAAATCAAATAAATGTCTTCGGGGTGAAATGGAACGGATAAAGTCTAGAGAAGAGCCTAACCATTGCATAGCGAACTCGATCTCCAGTTTTGTGCTGGGGTGTAGGTCGTATTGGTACCAGTGGCGTCGATGGTCTAAAGTGGTTAGGCTACCGGACTCGTAATCGTGAGGTTGCGGGTTCGGGGGTTCGAGCCGCGGGCTCGACGTTGTGTCCGTGGGAAAGGCACTTTACACGAATTTTCCCAACATCACCCATGTGAAAATGGATCTCCAGTGATAGATCTTGTCAGTTTGTTAGTGTTTCAACGCTTAACCAGCTGCTTGCACTGTATGCTTCCCAGGAAGCTGAGGATGTTTCTGAGCGTTCTATGGTCTGCTGGGGTAATAATATAGTGTAAAAGTGTAAAGCACATAGAGCTTGCTTTCGAGTGGGGACATGCGCTAAACAAATGCTCTTATTATTATTTATTATTATTATTACCCACCTGATCAAACCAGGATCAGTTTTCCCCAGAGCGTACGGTTCCCAGAAGCCTCCGGACCCATCAGATAAGGTGTGCGGGGTGAACTTCTCTGCCACGATCTCCACGTCGACATGAGGGAACGCCTGTTTGATGCACACTGCACTGGAGAGACCAATCACCCCAGCGCCCAACACGATCACTTTCTGAGAATGAAAGTGTGGTAAAGAACTAGAGTTTTAGTTTCAGTAGAGGTTTTACGGCGCTCGCAACTGCATAAGGTCAAATGAGCGCCAGAAGATTAGAGGTTTTACAAGAGAGTAACAAACATAAAAAAGAAGAAGGGGAGATGAGGACGATAGATGTTTGATAGGAAAGAAGAAGCAAACCACACCAGAGCACCCGCCAACCACCCTCCAAGAACTGGAGTGATTCTCAGGAAACCCACAGGAACACCTTTGTTTTTAAGTTTTAGTAAGTTTTACGGCACTTGCAACAAACATAAGTTAAGTTATAATTATAAGTGGTGAAAATTATAGGTGTTAAAAGAGCGTAACAATCACAAAAAAGAAGGAAAAGCGATAACGACAATAGATGATTGATAGGGAATGAGGAGCAAGCCACACCAAAGCACCCTCAACCACCCAGAGGACCACCTTTATACAGAAGAGAGAGACACAGTTCAGATAAACAGCTAGATATGTTGCAGCACTAGATAGCTTCTTATAGATGATATTTATATATACATGCCCCCCCCTCTCTCTCCCTCTCTCTCTCTCCCGCTCTCTTTCTTTCTCTCTCTCTCTCTCTCTCTCTCTCT